GGTTCTCGATCATATGCTGCCTCCTGAAGTGGGTGAACATTGACCAATTCTTTTTGGTTCAGTGACTCTGTGTATTCCTTCCATCTTCTTTTGATGCTTCTTGCATCATTCAATATTTTGCCCATAGAATTCTTTAGTTCTATGGATTAAATTTTTTCTTCAGTTCTTCCAGCTTGAGAAATGCCAAGCATGTTCTTCCCTTTTGTTTCTCTAAATTCAGGTCTTTGCACATTTCCTTATAATACTCTGCTTTGTCTTCTCGAGCCACCCTTTGAAACTTTCAGTTCAGCTCTTTTATTTACTTCATCACTTCTTCCATTTGCCTTAGTTACTCTACATTCAAGAGTAAGGTCGACAGGGTCTTGTTACATCATCTTGGTCTTTCCTTTCTTTCCTGTCTTTTAATGACTTTCACTTTTTTCATGTATGATGTCCTTGATGTCATCCCATAACTCATCTGTTTTTTAATCATTAGTGTTCAATGCGTCAGATCTATTCTTGAGATAGTGTCTAAATTCAGGTGGGGTATATTCAAGGTTGTTCTTTGTCTCTCCTAGACTTGTTTTGGGAGCTCTGGTGGCGTAGTGCCTAAGGCACTTGACTGGTAACCAGAAGGCTGGCAGTTCAAACCCACCAGCCACTCCTCAGAAGGAAAGTTGGGCAATTTACTTCCTAGTGATAACTGCCTCAGAAACCCAAGGAAGGGTCGCTGTGAGTCAGAGATGGAGATGACTTGATGGCACATAACAACAACAACAGACTTGTTTCAATTTACTTCAGCTTCAGCTTGAACTTGCATAGGAGCAGTCTGTTCGGCAGTTGGCCCCTGGCCTTGATCTGACTGATAATATTGAGCTTTTCTATCTTCTCTTTCCATAGGTGTCTAGGTTGAAGTAAAACATTCTTTGGGGCTGGAGTTAGTGATAAGAATTAATGCTAAGGTTTCTTTTTCTCTTTCAGACACTGCTTGCCCAAGCTACACTTTCCTGGTTGCCTGGGAACCTAGATAATGAATTTACTGTTCAAGGTTTCATCTTGAGGCTTTGTTTTTACATCCTTATCATGAAAAGAATGTTTTTAAGGTCATGTTTGGGTGGTGGTGGTGGTGAAATTTTACAAAGCAGATTTGTTTTACATTCAGCAGTTCATAAACACATTATGTTTTGTGATACGAGTTGCATTCCCTACAGTGTAACATCTCACCTCCCTCCTCCTCCCTGTGACTACCCTTTCCCTGTGTCCTGCCTGCCTCTGCATTCCTGCTTCCCCACCTCTCTCCCTGTGCAAATGCTCTTTTGGATCTCCTGTGGCTGGTTTTTCTAAGGAGTGCTATCTCCCTGGTGTAGATGTTTCAGCTTGTAGGCCTGTCTATTGTTTGGCTGAGAGTTAAACCACAGGAGTAAGTTCAATTCCAGTCCCAAAGAATGATTTGGGGCCATAGTCTTGGGCATTTCACCAGCCTCTGGAAGACCAGTAAGCCTGTTTTTTTTTTTTTTTAATTGTGATTTAGGTGAAAATTTACAGAGCAAATTGACTTTCCATACAGTAGTTCACATACACTTTGTCTCATGACATTGGCCACAATTTACCCC